CAACCCCCAGACAAGCCATGGCTCTGTCCCCCTCCCCACCCCAGCTGGGCAGCACCTGCCCCAGCCCTTCTCTAACCTTGATATGCCTGCCCCCCCATGCCCCTTCCTTCCCCTTCCACAACAGAGTTACCAGCTGCGCACAGCTCTCCAAGATGCCAGGCTGTGCTCCTCGCTGCCTATGTGCTGCGCTGCGGCTGCACACATGCACGGGCCATTTATTGGCCAAATTATAGATCATGTCAGGCTGATTTCCGATAGTCAAATTTCTTTATATTGTTGCCAATCCAATATCGTATCAATGTGTCAGTGTCTCTCTAATACTATACAATGACTTTATGTGCACAGAATGACATTGTGCCTTTAAGATATTTTTAAATGCAAAGATGTCACAGTCAGAGCTGGAATATATGTAAATAAATTCTCCATACAACCAATTATACTTGCTCACATAAATTTTTGTCCTTTGCTGCAGTTAAATTCCTTTCTGTAATATAAACTGCCCTAAAAACCCTATTTATTTCTACACATAGTATATCATAAAGAAAGTGGGGGGAGAGGGGGGAGGAGTGGAAATATTGGCTAAAAACAATACTGGCTTTAACACAGGTTCTTGGCACAATCTTGCTTTTTACCTAATGTGCTGTAACTATACTGAGGCTGTCTTTTAGTTGAGAAAGAGGAAATAAAACAAGTTCATACAAAGATTACATCAAGTGAGATGGCAAGGGATAACACCTCAGACATGTGCGTGTGTTATTTGTAGGAAGAGAGGGTTTTTATGGGGTTTTTTGTTTTTTCCCCCAGACAGCATCGTACACGTAAGCTTCTGGCCTAGAAGCCTTGGAGGGCAGTTGCCCCTTAGTTTTGCTTGCTCGTAACCAAAAGGCCAAGAAGCAGCTAAGGGAAAAGCACGAAAGCAGTCCCCTGTTGCCACAACATTGAAAGAAACTTAGCACAAGACTTTTTCCCCCCCATTTCTCAGGCAAAATTAGCCAAATCAGTTTCAAATTCTATCAACTGCTCAGTTGTTCAACACTGTATGGCACTACCAGCGGCAAGTATCCTACCTCCCAGACTCTTCAGCCCAGGGCTACAGAAACTCCCAAATCCATGGCAGGTATCCTACGAACAGGCCCCAAGGCCACAGGCCTTGGAATTCTGATACCCCTAAGTCTTGCTTGACCCTAGCCAAAAGGCCAAAGGAGCAAGCTAGGAAGAAATCCCCCTTCTCCATAAAAATAAGTGTGCAGCTGAGATCCTCCCATTGGGAAGCTATACAACAGGAACTACACTTCATCTGAGCCAAAAGTATAGGTTAGTGCAACATATATCTGAATACAATAGATGATAGTGCCCATTGAACACAGTCTCTCTCATCACTGACTCTTATCAAGTGAGCCACTACAGTGCATATATTCAAACTGTCCCTTCGTTCCCATAGCTAAGCTGCACCTTCCTTTCCCACTTCCAACGATCCTTGTTTCTTCACCAGCTTAAGTGTCTAGCAAACATCACCAAACAGGGCCCAAACAGTTCACTCAGAATCCTCTGAGAGGGGATGACAGCCTGGCACATACCATTAGTGTGGCTCCTCCCACCCAGAAGCCAGACTGGGTTGTCCTATGCCTCATGTGCATACAAATTTTTGGAAGATTCCAGGACTTGTGACAAGAACACCCAATCTAGTCATGACTAATTAGCACATGGATCCTTTGTGTGTGGGTGGCAGGTACATCTGGAGCACACATGCATACCCCAAACTGAGCAGTGCTGAGCTATCTGGAGTACACACATACTGAGCAGTGTTGAGCTGTGCAGTCACCATGGCTTGCAATGCTGTTGATTCATCTGAGGCCCAGCCCAATGAACTGTATAGTAAATCATGAGTCAGTACCCCATTGAGGTGGCAGGCAGCTGATTTTGCCAGCAGATTGTGGGGCCAGCTGCCATTTTTACAGGCTTATTGTGATGGGTCCCCCAATACTGCTGACTGGTTGAGGGCTGTCCATTGTGCGGTGCCACTCCTCACCACCGAATAGCCCCGCTGAGAAGCAAGCATTTTATTTTTAGTAAGTTGTTTCTTGGGTTTTTTTCATTTTGCAGGTTCTGTGAACATTGCCTGATTTTGCAGGCAATGCCAGATTTCTGTGAAGGAGGCAAAATTGTAATTTGAGTAGGTCTCTAATCCTGAGCCTTTTGGCTTTGGACTAATATTATGCAGGTGCTAAAGTGCTGCTTAAAAGGGTGTTTCTGTGCTATACCTGTGCTAAATTTGCAGCGATTTCAAAAACCAATAAAATGCATCAATTACAAATGAACTATGTCTACCCTTACAATATGCAAATTAGTACAGTAATGTTTGTTTCAAGGTTCTTTGGTTTTGGTTTTTTTTCTTCAAATTTGTTCCTCAGGATCTGACAGTAAGGAGGGCTAGGGGTGAGGGACTCACACAGGGGTGAGAAGTTGAGGGGACTGGACCCCCCATATTTAAGTTTCCCTGATGTAGCAGTGGGAAGGGGACAAATTCAGGACAAACAAATAATAAAATTTGATTCTATATGTGTATATCAAATTTACATATTTTCTCTATTTAGTATATAACTATTGGGGGGGGGGTCATATTAGAATCAGGGTCATTTTATATTTGGAGTAAATACCATATTTGGTTCCAATGGATTTTCCAAGTGTCCGCTGCACGGAGCATGACGCTTTAAAGAAAGGCAACCAAAAACAGAGGACAAACCCGTGCCAAACTGCCAAGGGGCTTGTTGTAGATGAAGCCTTCAAGGCAATGCAAGAGCTAAGCAAAACCTGCACAAGGGGGCAGCAATGAAGATGCAGGCATGAAATTAAGCCACCGTTTTGCCAAACATTGTGCCCGCAAAACCTGACAGCATGATTTCACATGTAATACCGTGAAAAATAAAGAATAAAGCTGGGCCGCCCGCCTGATCTGGAAGGGGACTTCAAAACCTACTTGCTTCGAAATTTGGAAGCCCATGTCGTGGGCTGGTGGGGGTGCACCTGTGAGGCGCAGGGCAACGTTTCCTCCAGCCCCATCCAACACCCATGCTGCAGGTTGGCTCGGGGATGCGCAAGGTGGTCTCCTGGGGTCCGTCCCTGCAGCCTTACTTCTCTATGACAAGACCTCTACATCTCATTGTCACCCCGCTCCCCACCCCCATGGACTAGACAGAGCGCCTGGTTCCTCAACCCCCCTTTCCCTGGCCCGCACCTGAGGCCGCCCCACAGGCGAGAGCCCGGGAGCAGCCGGAGGCCTCGACCCGCTCCTCCCTCCCTC